CCCTGCGAAGAGACCTAGATACAGAGGACCTGCTGGACCACATCCGGAACCTAACGTCAGGGTTCCTGGATAGGATCCGGCACAGCAAGAATCCCACCGTCAGGGTTTCTTGCACCAAGAAGTTCAACTGNGACCGTAGACCTCTCCCTGCGGACACAGTCTAAGAAGAAGACGTGGACCCCATGCGATGACCAGTTCCTGCACCACATCGAGGACCATGGGCTAATTATAAGTTAGTTATAGTAAGCAAGAGAGGCTGTTTAGGTTTAGGTTTAGATTAGGTACTTAGGTTAGTTTAGATTTAGTCATATGATGATATCTTAAGGTACACAGAGTGTTAGACACTCTAGCGATGTTAGCATTAAGGATCCATAGATTAAGTAACAGTAAGAAGTATGTATACTTAGCTGAAATAAATATGTTCCAAAGAAAGAGAAAAAAAAAGAAAATTTTGCTCGAAACGTGTGGTTCTCCGCCCCTAATGGCTAGTTTGAGACGTTGGGCGTTGGTTATCCGCTAGCTCCGCCAGGAGGCGGGGCCAAGTAAATCCACCTGTTCTTTCACACAAAAATGTATATTATTGAAGATATTGAAAAGAAAGTTTGAAATCGATGGGGATTTTAACGTTCATACTCCATTTTTTTTAGTTCGATAGAGATTTTTACCTGGAACTGGTAGTGGACGTAAGTAACGCCCACATCTGTGGTACAATCACGCCCTCGATATGCTGGTACCAGCACGGCCTAACTGTCTCCGGTCCTAACAAGGAGATTCGGGTAAACTCCTTGATTTTCCCCAAAGGAAAATGAATTAAGTGGCAGTTTTAGCATTACAAGAAAGTGGGATCTGCTTGGATATGCGACTCCAGCTTCCCCACCGAACAGAGCATTGGCAATATCATGAGCGGAAAATATGAAAAATGCATCGGACACACCGATGTTTCGGAGATCGTTTCTTTTGGTAAAGCTCGCTCTGAAGCAAAGCCAAGAAAATAATGAGGAATATATTTCAGGCACCAGCTTGGAAAGTGTGGCGTTCCTGAAGAAAGGAGAGTCCAGTTTCAGCAACATTTGCATCCTCAATCCACTGGGAGAGTTTGTGATTGTAGTCAGAGCCTCAACTATTTTGGATGCTTACAGAATGGACACTGGGAAAAGGGTAGAACGGGGACACTTTAATCTACTGCAAGCGGTTGATTGGGAATTTGCTTCCAGATATCTTCAATCACTCTGGAGCACAACATCTCCTCAATTGCGGATAACCCAGCGTTTCCATTTGTGGCAGTTGGGCAGGAAACTGGCAATTTGAAGCTGGTCTCTTTCCACAATGAAGCCAAGCCCAATGTGTTGATAAACCTGCCCTTAGCTGGCTTCAGCTTAGGCACAACTCGCTTCTTTGAGCAAGGGAATATTTTTGTTACTGGCAATAAAAGAGAGGGGGATTTCTTCATTTTAAAAGTAGGTACTGGGAATTAGGCCTGGGTAACTCAGTGAATTTTTAGGAGTTGGCGCGGTGCTGCGCAAATGGCTTGGGTTGCCTACCTAACGCATCGGCGCAGTAACTCAGTTCCGTTGCTGGGAAAATTTTGATGACTTTTATGTTACTTTTTTTAGATTTGTTCTAAAGGCCGTTAATAATACTTTTAAAATGTCTTCAAATTTCAGAAATTTTCTGTTTTAGCCAAGTTAGTTTTTCTTCTAATGCTCAATTTTTTTAAGTTTTACTTAAAAATGCTGACAATCTTAAGGTATTTTCGGCGAAAAATTATGAAATAAATTTCGAATTCTTCGTCGCTTTGTAAAAAGTTTTCAAATTTCTCTTCTTCTTCTCTTTCCAGCTTCGATTTTGGAACAAAAATCAAACAATTTTCTATCAAAAAACGAACAGAATAAGCGAAAGTTTATAAGCTTTTTGCAGCTTCGAATTATGGACAAAACCCTAATAATTATTTCTAGGCCTTTTTCCAACATATTTCTCCGAACTGAAAAAACGAAAGTTTATGATCATTTATTTGGAAATCTCTTGGAAACTGGAGTTTCTTCACTTTTAGGTCAATATTTCTAAACAACACTGTAAAATACTGGCAAACTGAATCTTTTTAGCAATAAAATTAAGAGGTAGATTTTACAAAAAAACTCGTTGACTTTCTTTGGACTCAGTTCTGTTGCTGGGAAAATCTAGATTACTTTTTTTAGTTATTTACAATTACAAAGTAGTAAAACGTCATTAAAAAAAAATGTTAATAACCTTTTTTCAGATGTGAAAATTTCAGTCTCGGGACACGTAAAAGTTTAACAAATGTATTACAACTCATTAACCGATGAGTATAACTCATTAACTCAGAGAGCGGCAACAACTCAATTGCGCAACTCGACACAGTGTTACCCAGGCCTACTGGGAATGTTTCAGAACATAAATTCTCTAACTTAGTCGAAGTTTAAAGGACCAAACACGTTTAATTTTTGTTCTCTTCCAGGGTTTACCAGGTACTCAAATCGAAGTCATCAAGCACTTGCATGTGGGCCAACAAGTGGTCGACTACATGCTAGTGGCGTCCCAGAACATGATCCGATTCTTCGCCATTCCGGTAACGCAGGACCAGTTTTATGCAGGAAATCGCCTGCTGCGCTACTGCATAGTGGACAAACAAGTGGTCAATATCAAAGAGTTCAACTTCTCACGCGATGATTGCTGGTACAGGAAAATCTACGCGAAGAAGGGCCCGGATAGGGATCGGATGTTCTACCTGATACCATTCAATTGCAGACATGTGGAGGAAGCCGAAACCAAGCGAGGCGTAAGACGATAGGGACATTTTTTTATAGGAATCTCAGTTAGAATTTCCAGAACCCGAGTGTCTTCATAACCAGAAGCATCAAATCGGGCCACCAAATGAAGTACTTTGTGCTCAGTTTCGGGACGAAACATGCAATCACTTGGGGTGTGGATGGGTTTGTTTTCGTCCGAAGTCCAGACTTTCAGGACATTGTTGGCATGAGTTTGTCTCATCATCGGTTCCACAAAGGGGTCGCAAAAGCCATCACCAACCCGGCGGCAAGCATTATTGTCAGTCTAGGTGTGTTTTCTCCTTTTACTTCGTTTTGTTTTCCAGAAGCTAAATACCTATAATCTATGTAGGCGCAGGATCTTTTTGTTTGCGAAATTATGCCATCTTATAGCCTGTAATAGTAGTAAAACCATGCACTTACTAGGATGTGGCGGTTTGCTGGCGGCCGTCAAGTGTGTTGGTAACGAAGAAGACGAAACGTTAATGGGTAAATTGCGCGAAGAAAAGCTGAGCACCAAACTAGCCCTGATGTTCAAAAGGCCCACATTGGGCTTCGAGATCGAGGAACGTTTCATCGGGAAGTGTTGGCTGGAAATACAGAAGTTGAAGAAGATTGAAGCAGAGGAAGCCCATTGCAAGAAGGAAAGGAACAAGATCTTGAGCGACTTTCAGGCGAGTGGACGCTGACGCAATTGTTAATGTTTTCACTGAAAAAGGTGTGCTTATTTAGTATATTCAATCAGTCGTTCAAAATTTGGTGACTGAAAACCTCCGAGCTCCCGAAAACAAGACGCTGGATTTGCTGGAGTTCTACCTGGACGCTCAGGCTTACCATAGGAAGCAGCAGCGAAACAAGAAAGACTGCAAAGAACTGGAAACCTACCTGAAGAGCCTGATTATTGCCCAGGACAAAGTTTCGGAGTACATCATCAAGAACTACTACATACCTATGGGTAAATACGCCAACCAAAATGTCCTCAATGCCGCAGATTATTCGAAAAGCGCTGTTTCCTAAAGGTCTTCCTCTCTATGGTGTTTCTGCCTGGATATATTAGACCAACATTCATCGTCTCTATGCGGGCCAAGTTTCAAGTTTCTATTCGTTCTTGATGCAAAGATATTGAATGTGTTGGAAACTCTTCTGTGTGAGTTTATCTATGACATGCACATTCGACAATTTTTCTCTCAACATCAACTCTTTTTATTTATGGGACCTCTATCTAGATATGTAAGAGTATGATACCTCTATGTCTGACACCAAATTGCAAGTATCCATCCATTTTTGGTACCTACACAGATATTCAGTGTGGAATCACTTGCGTGTGAGTCTCTATCTATGACCGCCAGAGTAAGCAATTTTCTAATGGCATCTCTATATATGTCAGAGCATCACACTTTTTCTATCTGCGGACCGAATTTCAAGTCTCTATTTGCTTTGGTTCCAAAGGTACTGAGTGTGCAAACCACTCTTGTATGTGCGTTTTTCTATGGTCTGCACGTTTGTCAATATTTTCAAACTATTTTTATCTATGAAATTTCTAACTAGACGTATTAGAACACCGTAGGAAATAGTATCTTCTCTATCAGTGGGCCGACCGGCGAGTCTCTACTTGTTCTGCTTCCAGAGATATTGGGGGTTTTCAAAACCCTTCTGCGTGAGTTTATCTATGCCCCACATTTTAGACAATTTTGTGAAAGTGATCCTACCCATTGTATCTCTATATAGATATATTAGAGCACCATATCTTCGGTATCTGGGGACCATATTGCGAGTCTCTAGTTGCCTCGGTTCCAAAGGTACTGACTGTTTTCAAAACTCTTGTGTGTGCGTTTATCTACAGTCTGCACGTTATGTAGTAGATATGTTGGAGAATCAGACCTCTTCTTTCTGAGAATCAAATTGCATGTTTCTATTGCTGCTTGATAAGATACTGAGTGTTTTTGATACCGTGGTATGTAAGATAATCTATATCCTGCACGCTTGTCAATGTTTTGGATTTATTAATTACTATGCCATCTCTAGCCTGATATGTTAGAGTGTTATCTCTTCTCTCCCGAAGAACAAAACTGCAAGTCTATCGGGTTTGGTTCCAAAGGTATTGAGTGTTTTCAAAATTCTTGGGAGCAAGTTTGTCCTTGTCCTAAACTTTAATAAACATTTCAAGCTGTTGTTTTCTGTCCTGAATATGTTGTGTAGATTTTAGAGCAACATGCCTTCTCTATCTAAGAACCAAATTCCTGGTTGTTATCAATTATGGTTCAAAATACAAAATCAAACGAAAATAAGGAAATATGTCGATTATAATCAAAATAACATTATCTTCCATGATTTCCGTTTGGGTATTTAGCTCCCGTTTGCCTGTCCATGATAATCGACAAATTTTCCATCGATCTATAGGAGTGCAATGGCACAACATTGTGGGAATCTTCAGCGCAGTGAAAGCGACCAACTACTGCCTGCTTCCTGAAAATCTCGCCCGAAGCCAACGCCTTAACTGGATTGAAGAGCAGCGAAAAGTCGAACAATACCTCAGCAGCCAGGACACTTTCGAGCCCTGGCAAACCCTCACTAAAGAGTAATTGGCGCCCCATTTGCTCCCTGCTATGGCCTCACGCTTCAGCATATTTTTAGGGAATTGCAGGAGATTTTGGCTAAGAGACCAGCGCCGCCCAAGAACGACTACACCGGATTGACTACCGCTTTAAACCTTCAGGAGGAAATCGACGTGGTCGATCCGGAGAAGTTTATGGAAACGAAAATTGCCATCACCGGAAGTGTGGCGCAACTCTATATTGATATCAGCCCTGGTCACTATCGGCAGAGGCAACTGAACACTTTCTATCAGTGCGAGTTGCAGCAAGCCGTTGCTGAGGTAAGATTGTTGTCGTTTTCCCATCTGAATTTTCCAAATCATGCCGGTTTTAGAGGGAAGTGATCAGACTGAAGCAGTGCTACAACAAATGCTTCCAAAACACTCGCGCGATTAAAGAACGGGAAATGTACAACATCAAGGAAAAAAACGCTCGACTGCGCCAAATAATATCGGAGTTCAACTACTTTTCCGACACGAAGCTCAACATCGAAATCAACGACCCCGAATGGGAGCCAGTAAGCTTCAAGAGACACAAGTCAACGCCCGAGGCCAAGATTTTTCTTTTAACAGATAGAAAATGTGGAAACCGACATTCTCCGAGTGGCTGATGAAGAAGTGCCAGTTGGGCCATACGTTTCCCCTAGCGAGCAGGCTCTTCTAGACGCCAAAGCAGCTGAAGAAGAGCGGCTTCGCCTTCTGCTGCTAGCTGATGACTTCCGGGAACGCGCCCTCATGGCCATGATGAATGGCGTTCTGGAAATCCGATGGGAGGACGAGCTGAAGAAGGACGTTCCCAAGCCCAAGTGTTTGGTAATGATAAAAAACCTGCCCCCTACAGTTGGCTGCTAATTGGGGCGGTTTCAGCTGGAAAAAAGCCCGGAGGAATTCATCGAAGACGACTTGCGAGCCATTCGGGAGTACGAGGACAAAGTGGTCCAACTGAAGACCGAGCGCGAAAAGTACAAAAGCCTGCTAGAGGTGGAGTTTGGAAAACTCTCCCTCAACCTGCGTGACTCTATCCGGAAGTTCAACCAGAAGCTCTACGACTGCACGAAATTCAAGTTCTACATCGACTCTGGAATGAACCAGGAAAACCTCATGGTGAACAGGCAGAGAGTGATCCAGAACGGCCGCATTGAACTGGATGCGACTGAGAGGAACATTATGTGAGTATTGGGGGAGTTTCCAGATTCTTCCAGAACAACTCAGGTTGTCCAGGAAGCAAATCCGGGACTACGAGCTAGCCGTGGAGGAAAACCAGAGGCTCATCACTCGAATCCAGGAAGCCCTTGGGGAGTGCAGAAACAACATGGAAACGATGCAGAGCAAGGAAAAACAGCTGGAGAAGGCTTACAGGAGGGATTTCCAGGATATGTCTCCAGTGATCCAGGAGCAGGCGTATAAATTGTACAAGTAAGTCAATTTTGCCTAAATGTGTGGAGGTTTTCAATTACTTATGGAGCTCACAATTTAAAAAAAATTTAATTTAAAAAAAAGTCAGCTTCGATGCGCCTTCAGAATTCTATGGAATTCGACACAGTCGTAAAGCGAGGTTCTGGTTATAAATTTGCCAAATTTTGAATTAATGTCTTATTTGGTTTGGAAGTTGTCAATTTTTCGAGAAAGAACTGCACACTTGACCGCCAAGGTCTAAATATGGGAAATTTTGAACATTAAAAAAATTTACTGTGTTCTATAAATTTTGCGAAATTCGTCAACAGTGTGTGCTGATCTGTATGTTAAACATCATACAAGATCTTTGCTAATTTGGATATACGAATACGAATTTTCAAAGACACAGGCACACTTCCAACATTGCCAATTTGACTGAAAATTCGCACATATGTGACTATATATGTGCGAAATATGGTTGGAGATTTTCACAAATTTACCTCCAGTAGTTTCAAATTGATAAATTTTCAAAAACTATTCACAAACTGCACTATTCAGAAAAGCCACTGAGGAACGGATATGCAAGTTGGCATATTGTCAAAGGAGGCAAGAAAGGCAAGTTGGCAAAGTTGCCCATGCAACTTTGAGAATTTGTAAAAAGTTTATAAAATATCTGATTATAGTGAAATTTGGCACCGGCGTCGCCGTATATTTGTGTTACATCGTCCGAAAATTTCAAATACTGATCTTGGTCGGTTTGAAGGTTATAAAGTTCTAAAGAAAAAAGACAGAAGTTGCAGATTTAGATATGGGCAATTTTTAATAACTAAATTTCGAAAAAGTCACTGCAACCTGGGAATTATGTTAAATTAGGCAACAACGTAAACCAAAATAAGTGATACTCTAAAGAGATCACAGACATCTGTTGCCCAGTTTGAAAGTTATCAAAAAATCATCTCCTTAAGATGGGCAACTTTGAGTATAATGAAAAAATAACTGTAGACGTTTAAATTTAGTGTTATTAAGCCGAAGTATAGATCTATTCTTGCGTGGTAAACTTTCAAAAATATCAAGTTTCTGTTTCTTCTGGGTTTGGAGCTACGAAGTTTTAAAGAGCGGACTGCACTTTTCAGCGAAATCATATTCTCGAGATGGGCAACTCTGAACGTTATAAAAAAAATATTGTAGGCGTCTCAATTTAGTGTAATTAAGCCAAAGTATAGATCTATTCTTATGTAGAAAACTTAAAAAAATCGCAAGTTTCTGTTTCTTCTCGTTTTGGAGCTACGATGTTTCAGAGTGCGGACTGCACTATTCATATAAATCATCTCCTCGAGATGGGCAACTTTGAACATTATAAAAAAATAATTTCTGACGTCTCAATTTAGTGTAATTAAGCCGAAGTTTAGATCTATTCTTGTGTAGTAAACTTTCAAAAATATCAAGTTTCTTCGGGTTTTGGAGCTACGATGTTTCAAAGTGCGGACTGCACTATTCAGATAAATCATCTCCTCGAGATGGGCAACTTTGAATATTATAAAAAAAATATTGTAGACGTTTCAATTTAGTGTAATTAAGCCAAAGTATAGATCTATTCTTACGTGGTAAACTTTAAAAAATCGCAAGTTTCTGTTTCTTCTGGTTTTGGATTTACGAGGGTTCAAAGAGCCGACTGCACTTTTCAGATAAATCATCTCTTCGAGATGGGCAACTTTGAACATTATTAAACAATAATTGCAGGCGTCTCTATTTGGTGTAATCAAGCCGAAGTATAGATCTATTCTTGAGTGATACACTTTAAACACCCGAAAGCTTCTGCTTCTTCTGGTTTTGGAGTACTTCTATATATAAATAATGTCAAGGCAATAAGAAAATCCATTCAATGAAGCCAAATCGTTCGAAAATCCTTGTTTTGAAAGCGTTAAATGCCCTCAAAATCAGGATTCCCATTTCAGGAAAAGACCAAAAGTGAACTTCCGCACCATATCAACAGCCACAGTACTGAACGAACTGGCAAAATGCGTTATATCCAACGAGATCACCTATGCCTTGACTCAAGAGTGTCTCGATTATATCAACGCTCTGGAAACTCTGGATTTGTTCGCCGGATTGCCTCCCACCATCGATGAAACCGTTTGGCACCTGATTTGCAAACACCGAAGATTCCGGATTGAATATGATATGCGGGTAGAACTCAAAGGCTTTTTTTGCTGCAAAAATGGCTGATTGAGGAGTTTTAGCTGCGGGCCGCCCAGATCCAGATTCTGGAAGGCGAGGCCACAATTGCCACGTTTCAGAAGCGCGTTGCCACTCAAAAAGAGAAAACCGCCATTCTGAATACTGAGCTGGATCAGACCAGGGCTGATCGACTTTATTTAATCCACAACAAGCAAATGCAGTTGGTTCTAAGGCGCGGATTGGTGGAAATCCCGCTAACTGGGGATCTTTTCACTGACTTTTCCGATGCCATTCTGGTTCCCAAGGCGGAAATTGAGTACGTCAACAATCTCATTGTGGTAACTTTTTGAAATCTAGCCGAAGACTGTATGAGGGTGAATCGTACGGGTTTCAGGAAGCAGGCAAACTGAAGCTGAAGACAATCGAGAAGAATCTGAAGTTCCGCAGAACCATGATGGCCATCGAATGGGAGCATACGAAGCTGCGGATGAAAATCAACGATTTCATCGAGCAGAAGCGCGATATTGAAAATGTTAAGGTAAGAAGTTCGAGCATTTGCTGGTGAGGATTTGTTTTGAACTTTTTTTGCTTCAGTTCACAAAAGAGATGCAGTCATATTTGAAGAACAAAAGCTTGGGCCGGAAGCAAGACATTGAATCGTACGAGATGGAGGTCGAGTTGCTGGCTGCTGCTTATGAGAACCGGATCAAAGACAAAAAGGACAAAGTGAAGAAGATTTCGGTGCAACTGAAGACGTACCGGGAGAGTAACAAGCACCTGGACCAGCTCATTAAGGAGATCAACATCGATCTATGCCACTATCAAGTGGAGAAAGACTACGAAGTGGAAAAGAAGGAGAAGGAAATTCTCAAAGCCAGGTAATCCTGCAGGAAACACTCGTGAAAAACCACTCCTTTAATTTGAAAAGAGTACAGAAATCCTTCTGAGTATTTCACACAAAATTGGTTCAGAAAAGGGTACTCGTTATTTCAGAATGAGTGCAATGCTTAATCGAAACCAACTAGTTCTGAAGGTTCAGAAGAACCACAACGAAATCTTGGTTCTTCAAGCGGAGCTGGAGCTGCTGCGGCTCAGAACCTTCCCCACTCTTAAATACAAAGTGTTAGACGAGTGAACATGTACACTTTAATTGGAGAATTAATGTACTTTTGATGTACTTTTTGCTTAGTTGATGCAATAAAATGCTTTTGTACAATTCAATGTCCCAGATTGTCTTTTGAGCTGCCGAACGACTAAAGACGAAGAAGCGCTAGTGCCTGCCTTAAATTGAGATCGAAAAGTGCAATGTTGCTTTTTGCAGTTTGTCCATAGTGAATGTTCAATCTGGAAGTGGCAGAGACAGACTCAAAAAAGTTGCTTTGTTGGAAGTCTGCAAAATGCAGGAGAACGAGAAGCAATTTCTCAAAACCAGGTAAACCTGCAGGAGTACCAATGAGACAATGACCTATAAAAATCATACTAAAGTCAATCCCTGATTTGACCATTTTCTAATAAAGGGTGAATCAAAATCGTAAACCTTCCCATTTATACCAAAGGTCTTGCCCTACAAAATTTATGCAAAAATTACTTTCGCACTTATCTGGATACTGAGAAAAAAAGCCAAACTTAGGCCTTGTTCAACGTAAACAACCACAAAATTCTATGGCACATCTCAAAACATAAACTTTTGACTCTAGCAAAACCCATTATGCCCTGTAAAGCTCATGCAACAGTAAATATCTGATTTGACTAGTTTCTAAAAAAATAGTTGCGAAAATCCAGCCGAAACGCAAATGAAAGACCAGAAGTCAAAAAAAAATTTGAAAATTCTCTTAGGATAAGTCAAAAAACAAGTTTCTTCCACATATGAAACGCTCTTTGAGCTGCAAAACGGCTGTAAAAGTGAGCCTTCAACTTTACTGAATTCTGCTAAAATGAGTCCCAAACTTAGGCCCTCGTGCAGCATAAACGACCACAAAATTCTGTGGCAAATCGAAACAAAACTTGAAGGTAGTCTTAGGATGGCTTAGAACCTAAACTTTTGCCGCCTGAAAAACTGGCCATTTCCCATAAAATCCATAAAAAAATTAATTTCTGAGTTTAGCAGTTTCTGATGAAATAACTCTGAAATGTAGAAATGCAAACGAAAGGCGTGAATACAAACAAAATTCCAAAAAAAATTATGAAAATCCTCTTAGGATGAGTTAAAATCGAAACACTTCCACATATAAAGTGCTCTTTGAGCCACAAAACGACTCCAAAAGTGAATTTAACTGATTTCTGCAGAATTAAATGCGAAATTTTGGCCAGCAATGAGTAACCTCTAAAATCAAAGGGACGTTCAAGAGGGTCTAAAAATTGGCTATGACGTATCATCAGCGTAGATTTGCCAACAAAACGCACTAAAACTTTTAGATTTGGAGCGTTACTAGTTTCTGAGAAAATAAATTCGAAAGTATAAATGAAGCCCTTAAAAATTCCTGAACATTTCCTGAGGCTGAGTGAAAATCGAGCCGTTTTCCACTTGCAGAGTCGAATTTACCATGCAGGTGCCAGACAAAAGTGACTGTCTGACTGACCTAAAGTACATTTTCAAATTTCTGAGAAAATTTATATCAAAATACCACCTGCATAAAAATCCACAAAAACACGTATGTAACTTTGAAAATTGAAATATCTGTAAATTGCTTTATTATGACTTATTTTTTATATGACTTCTACAATGAACTTTTCCGCGCAAAATACATACAAAAGCAAGTCTCTCACTTGACGAGTTCCTGTGTAAATAATTTGCAAACTCCCACTGGCAAAAACTGCCTTGTGAACCAGACTAAACATGAAAAATCTCCAAAAATTGTCTGATGATGGCTGAACATTGAAATTTTGTCCGCTAACAGAAGGGAGTTTGCCCTACAACATGCTTTTAAAAGTGACTTTCTGACTTTGAAAGTTGCAGGGGAAGAAAATGCTAAACTCCGGCCTGTCAAATCAAAGTGGAAAGTTTCGGCAAGTTCTTTTGCGAGACACTCCTCTAATTTTTTAGGAATTCTTCAGGGAAACTTTTTCAGAGTATTCCAGCCAACACCGTGTGGAATACTTCATTCGAACCAGCTAGTTCATATGGTTCAGAAAAACCACCACTATTTTGCAAGCAGAGGTGGAGCTGCTGGACCTCAGAACCTTCCCTCTTCTTATGTACAAAGTACTCAGCTTGTATAATTAGTGACATTGAAAACTTATTTGTCTGAATTTACGCAATTAACCGTGGAAATATCCCATCAAGCTGCTGCTGATAATATGAATTAAGTACAAAACGTGAAAACTACTTTCTGCACGAATAGATAAGTTCGAGGTCGCTTTTCTACTAATTATCGCATAATCTGAAACAATTAATACGGCACCTTTTTATGGCTTGTATATGTTTTAACAAAACTGATAATCATTCCAAAGTACCGTGCAAATGATAAGTAATTATTTGCAATCAGGCCACTAAATCGGGAGTATCAACAGCGTCCGAAGGCTGATTTCAGTTGCCATGATGCTGCGCGGTTTTTTTCTTGTGGTTTTTCTGCATTTTTCAGCCGCTGGTCCTGTTCCAGACGATTTATTTGAGCTCTCGGTGGTGCACGTTAATGATTTCCATGCCAGGTATGTAAAAAAGTCATAGAGAAAAAAAATTATTGCAAAACTGTCTGATATACAATTTACTCCAACGTCCACTTAAATCTTCAAAAAACGAATAAGGGATTATTTTCTAGGAAGTCTCTTCCAATAAAGGCACTAAAAAAACAATTGGGAGATAGTTTTACGACTTAAAAAGATAGATTAGTCTCAAAATCCAAGCGTTTAGATAGATCTAAACCTGTGTGTTTATCGCGTTCTTATCGTCTTTCCGTCAACGGCTTTTTACAGTAAATTGTGAACATTTGAAGCTTGCCACTTTACAAGTGAATTATGCACTTTACTAAACTTATCCGATCAATTACGTGGCACATCTCAAATAGCACAACAAATTAATGCAATTTTACAAAATGCGCACTTTTCAAAAAGTCAAGTGCAATTGTTATTTTATAACTGAATTAAACACTTTTCCTAACATGCGCCATAAATTTTATGCACTAAATTCAAACTTGACGGACTGAACACTTTAGAAATGAAATCACGATTTTATAATTGAAATACGCAATTTTATAAACTATGATAATCAAACTTGGGTCACAAATCCTGAGCGAATCTTGCAATCTGTTAAATTAAAAATATTAAAAAAACCAATTTATAATGCGAATTTTAAATCCATCGCCACAAGTACAAGTGTGTGGTGCAACACTAATGACCACTTGCACCAAACTTCTTCTAAGCACGTCCTTACCTAAGTATACCTTGAAATTTAAGTTCGACTTAAGTTTCAATGAGTTGCACCATCCGTTTTTCACGTGTTAGTTAGCTCTTAGCTAAGCTTCAGGCAATAACCGGCAACTCTGTATTTTTCGTTCTGTTCTGCAGTTGTTGTTTCTAACCGAAATTCGAGACCTATTTAAAATTTTGTTTCACTCATGGCTGCAAAACAAAAAGGGTCTCCTAATTTTGGCGTTTCTGAAAGCGATACTCTTTTAGAGCTCGTTGCGTTTCATAAAGATCACCGAAAATAAAAAATATAATAATAAAAATAATAACAACAAAAAAACCAAATGCTGTGTCTTCGCAAGAAAAGCAGTCAACATGGTAGAAAATGTCGGGCCAATTTAATGCTATTTGTTAAAACAATTAATAATTCATTTTTAAACAACAATTCCGCTTACGACCGCAATAATCAGGAAAATCTAGAATAACCAAAAAGAAGACATCCGGAAGCACATTTCCAATCAGAATAAAAAACTTTATAAAACTGATGGCGGAGGAGTTGTGCCGTGTCTTCGGTTCCCAGGGGCAATGCAGATAAAATATTATTATCCATTGTAAATAATAAGACCTTGTATGGCGTGAATTAATCACTTGCTGCTTTTGATGGTGATTGGGTACAGCCAAATGAAACTCCGCCATCTCTCATTTTCCCAATTAGTCAGAAAGGGCGTTAATGAAACGTTGATTCGCGCTTTAACCTCGGTAGCATACGGACGTACCAGTGCGAGCGTATATAAATACCTAAGATATTCGCAAACTGCGAGGAATTTTGGTAGTTTTAGTGGACAAAGTAGTTTTTTGGACAACCAATAATACCGGGTCTGTCCTAAAAGTAAGATGCATCCCGGGAGTTCACAGTCCGAATCGGACACGGCCTCCCAGGACGACGGCTTTAAAAAGCCAAAAT